TCAATGGTAAAATGCAGTACACTTAAAAGACCTAACCTAAACCTCTGTTTGGGAGATACCAGTATGGAAGTAAGTGGCGTGAGTGGGTATTTAGTTTTAAAACCAATTTTGTTTTGTGACCTACCTCGATATTGAACGTATAAGAAATAAATTTTGCATAATATAATCTACTTGGACCGTTTGACTTGACAAAGAGCTCATTCGAGTGTTAATATGTGGTGATGTGGTCGTCTGATGAGTTTGAGTTTTCCGAACAACTTTAAGGACCTGACCTAGTCTGGCGTGAACTAACCTAACTACGAAGTTTTTCAAACTTAATTATTTTAAACCTTTCAACTTTGACTTCAGCATACATTATTCAATTTTCATTATTGCACGTGCAAAATTTAGTTGTAATTTGTACGGGACGTTGATCGAGAATCATTTGCATTTTAATACGATTTTTGGCTAACAAAGTCGACGGTCAATTTAACACCAGTCCGTCCGGTCTCCAAAAATAAGGCGTTGGCTTCGAATAGTTCACAAGGTTGAAAAATGGTAAAAAGGTCGTCGAAAACCGATTAATTTCCGAATGAGCCGGCATCATATTTTTTACCCTTAAGACTGATACCACGAGCTCAGTTAACTTGGTGCCTTGACTGGGTTGGATTTCCTAATATAAAGCAACTACATACACCATGGCGACAAAATGTACAGTAGGTAACCGAGATCGGTGAAATGTGAACATACGTTGTACCTACAAACATTTATTTTTGCCCAATCGTTACCACTTGTACTATGAAAATAACATATTATTATTATTAAAGTTTTAACATACAAAACGCGTATAAGCGAATAAAAATAAATAGGGTGAAGGAAGGTATTTTCGTGGCATAAGCAATTTCGTGATATAGTTTGATCGTATCGCGTAATTCCCTATTAGAAAATTGTCTTGAAAATCACACTGATTGTTAAAATGACAATTTTAACAATCGGGAATTACGCGATACGATCAAACAAACTATATCACGAAATTGCTTATGCCACGAGAATACCTTCCTTCACCCTACTTAGAGAGTGTTCAAAATTAAACTCTAAAAGTTAATTTGTTTTTAATACCATTTTTTACGGTCATTAACGAACAACTTACTTCTATATTGACATTGCGTTGAAATTGTTTACTTTTATTTTAAACAAAAACAAACAATCCCTTTTTGTTTACTATAAAAATAATATTTGCACACTAGAAAAAAAAACTATTTGTTTTAGTAAAATTGCAAAGTTTGACCATCAAAATAATATGTTTGTCGTTGCATTTATATGGATTTAGTTTGTTTGTACCAACAAGCGAATAAACTTTTCGAAGCGTTTTAGTAATTCCAAAGTGCTCTTGGCGTACGATCGTTCTTTTTATCCGTCAAGTTAAATGATTGGAGCTCGAGAGTCTAGAATAATAAAACTTAGCTTTTAAAATATGTATCATACAATGTGACGTATACTTCTTATCCCGAATGTAATAACACAGCACTTTGCACCATTTCCTACTTACATTGTTGCATTATATATTGAGTACTCTAATCTAACACTTTTTTTCTCTAACTAGTATATTAAAATATGGACAGCTTAGTCTCGAGTTAGTCACGGAATTGAGTGTAATCACATAGAATGATTTTGTTTAAACGCAAATTTAATTAAAAATATGTCTTTGGTACAATTAAAAATAGAGAAGCAACCGTAATTAAAAACATGTCTTTGATACAATTGAAAATAGAAAAGCATCCGCCGTAATGTGTAATGTGCAGTTGTAATAGCTGGATCTCTCAAAACAACCATAAAAACCAATACATTTTAAGCTACTTTATTAAAGTTGTCATTAATAATTAATACTGAAATGTTTGTTAAAAATAATATAGATGTGTTTACAGGATTAGGCAGTTTTCCTGAATGCATAACAATTAAATTAGAAGACAAGGCAATACCTAAATCGTTTCCACCGAGAAGAGTACCTTTTAAAATTACAGATAAACTGAAGGAAACATTAGAGGCAATGTGTAAATTGAAAGTAATTGAAAAGTGTGAACAACTGAGTGAGTGGCAAAGTAACATAATTGTCGTAGAAAAACAGGATAAGAGTATAAGAGTATGCTTAGATCCAAGAGAGATCAATAAATATATTGTCCGTGAGAGATATGAAATTCCAAAGATAGAATAGATTAAACTTAAGTTAATGGGAAAAAAATATTTTACAGTTCTTGATATAAAGGATGGGTTTTATCAGTGTAAATTAGATGATATGTCACAAAAATATTGTTGTTTTAATACACCCTTTGGGTGTTTTAAATTTCTTAGATTACCATTTGGATTGGCGTCAGCCCCAGAAAAATTTCAGGAGTTAACTAGTAAACATTTTGGGGGAATTAAAAATGTAAATGTGTATTTTGATGATATACTAATAGCAGGTAGTACTAAAGAGGAGCATGATACAACGTTAAAAGAAGTGTTAAAAAAAGCTAGAGAAAGTAATATTAAATTTAATCCTAAAAAAATGCAATTTATGAAAAGAAAAGTTAAGTTCCTTGGGTTTGTTTTTGGAAGTGAAGGAGTGGAGCCAGACAATGATAGAATAACATCAATTATTGAACTAAAAGAGCCAAATAACAGAAAAGAATTGCAGTCTTTTATAGGTATGATAAATTATCTTCGTGGTTTTATTCCTAATTTATCTGAATTAGTCACACCATTTAGAGTGTTATTAAAAAAGGATACATTATGGGAGTGGGGTTTGGAACAACAAAAAAGTTTTGATCAGTTAAAGGAAAATTTGTAATTTGCCTATGCTAAGTAATTTTAATTTAAATGATACATTTGAGATACAGACTGATGCGTCAGAAAGAGCAATTGGGGGTTGTATCTTTCAAAATAGTAAACCAATACATTATGCTTCACGATGTCTAAGTGAAAATGAAGTTAACTATGCACAGGTAGAAAAAGAAACGGTAGGAATAGTATTTACCTGTACCAAATTTCATTATTTAATTTATGGACAAGATAGAATTAAAGTGAATACTGATCATAAACCGTTAGTATCAATTATGAAAAAATAAATTCATAAAATCCCAAATAATAGGTTAAGGAGGTTAAGATTAAAATTATTGTTATACAATGTAAATGTTCAATATTTACCGGGAAAATACATGTATGTAGCAGACTATTTAAGCAGGAATTATATAAAAAGAGAAGACAAAGGTGATCAATTGAGTGATGTGGTTCATACTTTAGATGAAGTGGAAATACAGTTTAAAAGTATTAAAGAAAGTGATTTCATTGAATTAACAAAAAAGGATGAGGTATTAGGAAAGGTCTTAGAAAATACAAAGAGAGGGTGGCCAAATAAATGTAATAGTGAGGGTGAATTAAAATATTATTATAAAATAAAAAATGATTTAATTGTGAGTAATGAATTAATATACTATGTCATGAAGTTACTTGTTCCAACAAATTTAAGGAAATATATTGTTGAAAAGTTGCATGGCACGCATATGGGTATGTCAATAACTGTAGCTAAAGGGCAATAATTATTTTATTTGCCTGGAATGAAAAGTCAAATTGAAAACTTTATAGGAAATTGTAACTTATGTTTAATGTTTAGTAACAGTAAGGTAAAAGAACCTATTATTAAACATGATTTCTCAAGTATTCCATTTCAGAAAATAGGTATGGATATTGCAGAGTTTAAAAATAGAAGTTATATAGTGATTGTTGATTATCACTCAAGGTGGATTGAAGTGAATAAATTAAAATTTAAAAATACCTCTGAAATAATTAAAAAAGTTAAAAACAATTTTAGTAGATTTGGAATTCCGGAAATATTAGTAGCTGATAATAATCCTTTTGGGAGTTATGAATTTAAATATTTTGCCAGGGAATGGGGAATAAATATTGTTAATTCTAGCCCTAACTTTCCTAGGTCAAATGGATTGGCAGAAAAAGCTGTGGGTATAGTTAAAAAAATGAAGAGAATGGTGATTTGAATTCTTATTTACTACATTATAGAAATACACCTGTGGCTAATTTACCATATTCACCAGCACAATTATTGCAGAGTAGGGAATTAAGAACATTAGTAAATAATTTTAATAAGAATATATTTATACCAAAAACAGTTGACTGTACTAATGAGTTAAAAAAATTAAGAGATAAACAGATAAAATTGTATAACAAAAATGCTGGAAAGAAGGAGAATGAGTTTTTACCAAGAAGTAAGGTGCTACTGCAAGACAAGTTCACTAAGAAGTGGTCTAAAGAAATAATAGTAGAAAAAACAAAGTTCCCCAGATCATACATGGTAAAAGATGATAAAGGAAAATTACTAAGAAGGAATTCACACTTCATAAAGAAAGTTAAAGAATATAATGATTTTGATAGTTTTGATGAGGAAAAGGAAAAAACATTAAGAGAATACAAAGATCTTGGGAAATCAGAAATTAACAAGGAGGAAGAAGAAAAAACAGATATGGGTAAGGAAGGGAATAATGAGAAATAGAGATGATGAGATAAGTAAAGAAAACTTAAATAAAACTAGGTCTGGTAGAATAGTAAAAAAGGTTGAAAAATATGGTTATTAAATATATTGTATAATAATCTATGTTTTAGTAACTATGTATTAATTTTGTTTTATTTACTATGTAATATTTTGTTTCATTAATGGTAACACTGTTCAAGATTAGCCTATCGATAAAAACTGTACTTGATAACAGAGTTGATATATGTATTGTTTATGTATAATGTTATGTGTTTTAAAATAAAAGTATTTCTTTTTAAAATTAATTAAATGGTACTTTATCCTTTACAATAATTGTGATACAAGTATAAAACAGGTAACATTCTTCTTTGGAGCCGGTAATAATTGTCTTCTTTGAACAGGATTTAAATACAGCCCCCCCCCCCCCCCGTTGTAATTGTCTGAGATCCGACACCACGTTGTGAGTATTAGCCCTGAAATAACAGCTTTTGTCACTTACCTTTGCACGGCCAGGGCTAGAGTGAGCCAAATCGATGCGGTGTGGAACATGGTGGGTATGACTTCGTTCATGGCGTACCAAGCGTAACAGGACTCGACCGGCGTCAAGGGTTTGTAATGGTTGCCGAGTGTGTACATGTAGAACAGCCAAGGAGCCGGAAACAGCAGGGTGAACATATCGGAAAGAGCCATGCACATAAGCACCACGTTGGTCGGTGTGCGCATGTGACGTCTGGACAGGACCACCACGATCAGAGTGTTGGCAACGATGGTGACCATCAGCAGCACTGGCATGAAGAGCCCGTACATGATTTTGGCGTACTCGACGGGCAATTCGTTTGTAACGTTCAAGTAGGGCTCTTCCGAGCTGTTGTCGTAGGTCTGCACCCCTTTGCTGTCGTCGGTCACCATTAACCCGGTCAGCGCCGTGGCCGTGGTCAGGTTCAACCCGTAAATGGGAACTTCCGTGTAGTTGGATCCGTAGTCCATGGTGTCGGTGAGCGGACACTATGTGACACTTACAGTCGGTAAGTTAAGTGGTTCTTGACGTCCGGTTACCGCGGTTAAGACATAGCCGTCGTGACTCCGGTCGTATTGTATAAGATCTGGTGATCTAGTAGTTGTAACGATTTCGTACCCGCCAGTACGTGTGTAGAAGCGAGTGTGCTCGGAATAGACTGACAGTTGGCAGCAACTACAAGACAAAAAAAAAAACAAAGCAAATACAATTATTAACATAAGGAATACATTACAACGTGAAAACAACATTATTCAATGCTAATAAAGTACCGGCACAAACGCTTGGATCGAAATTGAATACATCAAGTATTATATAAAACGTTTGTAATGTACAGCGTTTTTATTCGTTAAGATAATATAATATGATATGCTGAAATGACACAAGACCCTACATAATGAAACTTTCTCTTCGTCGTGCAAGTATAATTCGCAATGAATTCAAAAATCTGCTTAGATAACAATCCAAAAAAGGTACAAAAATGATAGACCAATAATTCGTGTCGTTATTCCTACAGAAATACTACTGCGTAAAATATATAAAATATATTTTATAGACGATAGAAAATGAATTCAAAAACCTATGCGACCCTACTTAGCGTCAGTCGCCAGCTTAGTCGAACGAGAGGGATAAGTCTAAAAAAGCCTCACACACTATATAATGTATTTTCAATTGGTTATTTTGATTGCTTCAAAATATGTTCTATGTATCTATGTACTTAAACTGAAGTTGATATTCAATAAAAAAAAATGTAGGCGCAAGCTTTACCGATACTTGCAATTCATCAACATTTTAAATAATGAGTCAGTAGAAGAAATTGAAATAGCTAGCCATTGTCGAATAAATTGGGCTTGAAAGTTAAATTCGATAATTGATTGTGTCCTCAGTTAAGATTAGGTTATTTATCAGAGACACTGGCAAACTACTGGAAAAACGAATGGTATAATATTTGTTTAAACTTGTACAACGGCATTAAACCGTGATATGTTCTGTGCGTGCTAACTGCTAATGGTGGTCATTCGTGCCAGCACCCCGGGTAAGCTGTTCACAGATTTCGTTGTATAACACAACCTCGTTTGCTGCGACCAGCAATTTAGTGTTTATCATATTGCGTGCATGTGTCAACACATTGTATTTTATATGGATAATATTTTTTCTACAAGAAAAAAATTACAGGAGAAATTTAAAAAATTATCTTTGGCGTTTTATCACACAATAGCTACGTTTTGTTTTTGTTTTAATTTAAAATAATTTCCCGGATGATGAAAAAAAAATAATATTTTGTCCTTGAAACGTTGCTAATGTCTATAGTTATGTTTATAGATCTTTGTTGTTGGCCATGTGACCACATCCTTAAATGTAAAAAACAAAAAATAAACGTTGTCTTTTACAAATTTCTAGCCCACACTTAAGCTTAGAATTGTTTATAATTCAAAAATATTTTATTGAAGCTTGGAAGAAGTATTTTAAGTAGGTATAGAACTTAATAGAGGTTTTTTTTAATCCTATAAAAGTGATTTTCCGAGAAAATTAGTGTCTTATGTTAAATGTGTCACCTGTATGGATATAAATATATATATATATATATATATATATCAACAGATGGTCGTTATGCTGGTAATGGCGTCAACTATAGGTCGTGTACCGACTACCGTCATCATAAGGGCTCGCACTTCGACTAGCCGTTACTCGTTATTTTGTTATCATCACATAGACGAGCAACTTAAAAAGGTATTGGTTTTACATTAATGTATTATTTTATAGGTATTTGGACGGTGCATTTGGTACATGGGAAACCACCGGGTAATTGATTACTTTGATCAGTTTTTAAATAGATCAGTAGACTAGTACTGTTTTGAAGAGAGATGATTGTTTAAACCACAAGGTACTTAAAATTGTATTCCTCCCCTTTCAAGCAATCAAATCTTAACAATTTTGGGAATTTCCAAATGTAACATTATTTTACCTGACCCAGTACTAAAGTGCTTGAAATCCTTAAGAGCTTACCAACGTGAAATATTGTTTAACGCCAGTGTTGTGGTAGAAGACTAAATGGGGTTTACGTCGAATGCATACTTTATTTTTACTTTTGGAGTTTGGCTCAAGAATGTTATAATCCTTTTGTAAGTGCGACAACAGCTCTAGAGATCTAAGAACTTACAACACAATGTATGAAAGTGTAAACCGCTAAAATGAGCGGTTATCTTTTTGCGGGGAGTCTTTTGATCCAATCATGATGGTCGCAACAAAGCGACTGTTTCGTTCTTATCACTGAACAGAGAATGGAAAACTTTTGCTGGATTGACTGTGATCAAACGTGAAATTCTAATTAGTCTTTCAAAATAAAACCCCCCTCTCCAATTCTCTTTTGCGGTTTGCATTGTCCGTTTTCTCCGTTCGTTCCCTTATGATTTTAGGGACGTGATACCACAGTTCCACCTCTATAAAGGTCGCCTCGGTCGCCCTTCCTGTCATATGTTTCACCGTCAATGCGATAAATCTCCGTTTACCGCGTGCCTTATCAGGGCATGGCCGCTACCTGCACTTGTACTTTTTATCTGTCGCACGTCTATCCCGAGCCATTTCCACGCTACCCATGAGACATAAATCTCCATATTTACCCGAGGCCAGCAACATACACTTGCGCGGTATCAGATAACAGCTTCCCTAACCATTAGATTGAGGTAACAGACGAGGGTAAAGTACACGCTGTCACTTCCCGGCGTGACAGATAGAACCGACTGAGCATGCTTTCAGTCTAATATTCATAAAGTTGTTTTCTAAGCACTTAGCTCCCTTTACGATTTCACTAATTCAACCTAACCTTTCATCTTTGAACCATTTCTCAATATAATCAATCTCATTTTTTCTACTATTTTTCCAACCTTATTTACACTTTAATTCGTTACCAATTCAACCTCACCCAATATTAACCATTTTTATAATAATATTAGAAAAAAACTGGCATATCATATTATGATAAATACCTACAGCGATAGAATAGAATATTATGATAAAAATACTATGACCTGGTCAACAAAAAAGTCATCTATTGGGATTTTATCTTGACAAGAGTTTTTCGTATGACATGGATCAACATGGACAAAACAGGGTTAAGTTTTCAGTGAAAAATATTTAATAAATGCTTAGCTTCTGACGTCCGTAAAGTGCATCAGCCAAAATGAGTCTTTTCCATCAAAAGAAACGGATTTTGAGTAAAGTCGGTGTTCCTATGTCATTTATCCCGTCACCAGTCCTGACACTGATTGTCATGCCCAGTAAAATATAAATATTTTTAAATTTACATACCACAACCTAGCGAGAGTGTTGAGGGTTCTCGGAAATGTATACATCTAATGAAAAATGTTTATGAAAGTTACATTTAAGTTTGAATAGAAATGTTGTCAGCGGTTGTTGACAGCACAGCGCCAGGTATAGCCTCCCGAATTGAAACTTTAAGCGCAATCATAAAGTAACAAATGGTCAAACGCAATATTGATGTTGGTTTTTTATCTCTTTTTTTTTTACATGTATTTAGTATTTGTATTCGTTTATAACCACGATTTACACTTAGACTAAAGAATCAATTTGAAACATTTTAATATAATAGTTGCTCAGTCAATACACAACATGTTCAAAGATGAAAATATTTAAGCACAAAAGAAAAATCCAAGTTTAACACAAAAATAAATTATTTCTTTTATATATTATTTAATTGTCTAACAAAGGTTTGTGGTAATAACAATAAAAATGGTCCAAGAGGATTATATACATACTATTACATAATATATTATTTTATTTCAATTAAAATCAGTACCATTTATTTTCCTATACAATTAAAAAAATTAAAAAACGAATTACTTTTTACCTATTCCAATGATAACGTTTATTAAAAGTGCTCTATACGATATCTAAATTCCACGGTACGATAACGTTGATATTTTAGTGGAAGCTACAACCGTGCAAAGTCGGATGTGATAAAAGTGTTAGTATGCCAAAAGTCAGTATGATGTAATTTTACTGAAATTAACATAAATATTCACTTAAATTTTTCCATCGTATCGTTTTGGTTGGACGTGTCCGGCCGGGTTGACGATTCCGTCGAGTGACACCACAACATAGTCATTCGTTTTGGCGACACTAACCGTGTGCTCAAATATATTGTATTATATATAAATATAAAAGTGGTCGACTACAGTGTCGTGGAGATAAGGAGGCTCGTACGGCGTTCGACTGGGTTCAAGACGTTTTACGAGCATTCACATGGTCGTACGGCCGTATGAGCTTACAACAATGCCGTCGCTTCATTCGGTCGGGGATAAGAGAAAATGTGACTGCTGCCAAATACTGGACGTCTTATCTTATTGGTGGCTCGCCCAATGGCTTTCTATTTTTTGTTTCATTTTGCGTTTAGACTAGCGCAACGAGAGCGTTCGGCCGACTATAATAGTAAGAATAATAATATAACAAGAAAATGTTGATAATCCATTAAAGATAATCCACAAGACTTTTGTCCTAACTCTTCTGCCGGTGATAACGACGGTATTGGCGTTTAGAGAACAGCTATATGCGAACTTTTAGTTGTAAAGACTTGACTTCTTAATTAATATTATTACTGTAATATTGAAATCTGGCAGCTGTATCGAGTTATGACTTTTTAAGCATCTACAACCTTTTTTATGTTTGAAAACGCTTATCTGTTTATACTTTAAAATCAACGGTACGACGTTCATCGGTTTTAATCCTTCTACATTTTTTCCACAACACCGCAATCATGGTATTTATCTACATTAATACATTACACATACAATACATACGGCGTTGTTCTAGAAGAGCAAATACAAAGCTGTTCAACCCACTGGATCTGTTATTCGTTATAGTTCATCGATATTTGTAAGTTGAATATTGACTTTTGTACTTGCCAAAACTATAAACTCTGGTCTTAAAATATGATTTTCGCTATCGAGAACAAACCGTAATAGTAAAGATACGCTAGATAAGTACCCGGAGGCGGAGAGATGTTGCCGGATTTCAGTCGAACGGATTTTCACGGTCAATTGAATTCAAAGCGGCGCTTCGCATCTCAACAGATAATATTTTATTATTATACTCAAATATATATATAGAGTCGTTCACCGAAAAATATATGTTTTGTGCTAAGAATAAATTGTAACGTA